AAGAGCTTTCGTTTGAGTACCCACATGCATTTTTATATATTTTTCATATATACATATATATATAATATATAAAAATATATCAAAAATGCATGTGGGTACTCAAATGAAAGCTCTTGATGAGTGCAACATCAGGGTGAGCTTATATCTTTAAAAACGTCAATAATTAAAAAAGTACAGTGCAATTTAACACTCGTAAAATATTAACCAAATTAATTTCTTTTAAAAAATATATTATTTTTTCTCAGTATAATTGATAAAACTCACCTGCTTCAGCGATACAATAACAAGCGCCTTTTACATGATGTTTTTTAGGTACGATAAACGGCAAATTTTGTTGATCAACATCACTAATATTTAAATTATTCTCAAAAGGCCCTGCCAATAAATCCTTTCCTTTAGTAGTAGGCTCCCCAAAATTATTATCATTAATCGGATCGATGCCCAAATTAACCTGCTCGGTTTCAACAACCGTCGAAGCCAAAAAAACATTCATAAATTTATCCAAATTTTGTCCCTTTTCTTTCCTTAATTTATGAGCTACATTCTGATAGAGCACACCAATGTCCGGCGTAGAGTAATTATTAAAGTAAGGCTTAAAATTAGGTACAGTAAGAAAAATATACAGCAGTTCGCTGCTACGTAGAGTCGGCTTGGCGAGTAATTTCTGAAGAAAATCTTCGTAGCGCTGGCGATTAGCAGCCAAAGATACGTACTGATTTTTGCGAGTGGGCAGCGGAGAGTCATTCATCTCGCGGTCTCCATGAAACTCCAGCAACCTTGACCTTAGAGTGTGAAAATCTTGGTCCCTGCGCAAAACACTCCAGGGTTTGTTGTCAGCTGAGCTGTGGATCTCGATCATATAAAGCGGGTGGCTGCCATTGCCATCAACATGCGGCACGGTGACCCTCCAAGTGGTCAAGTCTCTATCACTGGCCTTGTCGATGTACAGAGCCGAGTCGTCCTGGTAAGTACGCGGTGCACAGTCGACCTCTTCGGCATGGAAAACGTCCGGAGTCTCGAATGTCGCGCCGTCGACTGTCGATGCGCGGAGAGCTCCTCGGATTTTTCCGAGCTGGTAGCTCAACTTTTGACCCACTCCGCTGGCCCCGGACAAGCTCGTCTGCGAGGACGACTTTGATGTCAAATTTGCGATCGGAGATCCACAGAGCAGCTTGTAGAGCTCGTAACTGTGGTGGAACGACGGGAGACAAATAGCCTCCAGCAGGGCGTGAGCTTCCTGATGCGCTTGGTACAGTGGCCGAGAGGTTCGCAGCTCTTGTATTTTACTTGGCCCGCCTTCCAGTATTTGCTGCAGCCCTTGAGTTATGTGCCAAGGCAAGTGGATGTACTCGCTCCCAGTTGGGTCCAAGTATGTTGAGTATATGTTCTGAGCGTCGAGGTATAAATTTTCTTCTATTTCTTCCGTCATCTCGGGGTTCAACATACGTTTACTGAGATCATCTGTAAAGATAATTATTTACTTACTTTTTTTATTTGTTACGGTAAAAAAAATAAAATTTTGCTTTATTAAATAATGACTTTTGGTAAATTGCACTGTACTTTCTTAACTATTGACATTTTTAAAGATATAAGCTCATCTTGACATTACACTCATGAAGAGCTTTCATTTGAGTACCCACATGCATTTTTGATATATTTTTCATATATACGTATATATAATATATATAAATATATGAAAAAATGATGTGGGTACTCAAATGAAAGGTCTTGATGAGTGTAATACCAGGATGAGCTTATATCTTCAAAAATGTCAATAGTTCACAAGATACAATGTCATTTCTTAATTAAATAGTAATTTTAGTAATTTTTTTTTATTAAAAAAATTTTCTTTTGATTCAAGAATTTTAAACTAAAATCATTTTTTGGTTCAAGAATTTTATCTCATTAATTAATTAAATTTTTTTTTTATAATGCAATTCAATGTAAATATACCCACCGATATCTAGACAAAATTGTAAGAGATTAACAGGTCCAGTTTCCTTGATATGTTGCATAAATAAATAAAGAAGCTGCGGATCATTGAGCACTTGATCCAAAGAAGGTTTCAGCGGATCGTTAGAAGTTTCAATAGCAATAACAGGAGTAATCCACGTCTGAAGAACTGGCACGTTTACAGAATCAATTTCTCCTGGCAGAAGTACTTCGTAAGAGGTTCCCAGTTTCACCAGGAAGTTTATATTGTCCGGATCTGCTAGTGCGTCTATTGCAGGCAGCAGGACCCAGTTTGCCAGAATCTCTCGCAATAAAACCTGGAAAAAAAATTATTTTTAATGACTGATCTAATTGATAATTTCTTTACTATCATTACCTTGTTATTTGTTGAAATATAAGTACTGGGTAATAAATAAGGCAATAATCCAGAAACTAAACCTCTGAGATAACTCAATTCTTCATCACGCGAGTAAGCCGCCGGGTGTATTCTATGTCCTAAGTAATCACGAGCATAGTCTTCAGGCTTACCGCCTTTTTTTTTAGCGCACTCTGACATGACACGCCAGTCTTGGGCATGCTGGAGCGCGATGGGAATTAGGTTGTTGAAAATTAACTCGGACACTTGAGTATTGAGGAGCCGGCTGATTATGTTCCTGATGGCGATTGTTGTTGTCAGGCGCAGTTGCTGGAGAAATGCCTCATTTGATGAGAAATCTGAGTACCAGGTACACACGTAAGTCTGTAAAACTTTTTCCAGTAGCTAAAAGTTTAAATAAAATTTATTTTATTTAATATGAAGTAATTATAAAACACAAGTTTAATTTAATTCCTGCTAAATTAATTTTTATCAATTGAATTATTAAAAAAAAAAATTATTAATTGAAATTTTTTAAGGCATTTTATCAATAAAAATTAATTTAACATATATTGAATAATTTTTAAAATTTAAAGAAGAATTTGAAGAAATTTAAAAAAATTATAAATGCAATTTTTTAGAATAAATTAATTTGATAAATAAAATTAAAAAATTATCTAATTTGTCATAAAAATATGAAAATTAAATAGCCGATAATTGATAATTTTTGTAACAAATAAATTATGGCAAAAATAAGTAGAAAAAAAAATATAAATTTTTAAAAATAAAAAATGCAATTTTTTTTAAATGATTTTTTTAAGCAAATTTGTTTGTTAAATAAAATTAAATAATATTCAAGTGACTGCTAAATTTAATATCATAAAAATTAAAAAAATTGACAGCTGTCAACTAATTTAACAATCATAATAATTTAATTAAAACATGAGTTGTATTACATTTTGGAGCGCAGAGTCCAAATCCTTTGGAATTTTGACATGACTATTGTTAACAGACGGCTTGTGTCTTTTACAATTATCACCACGACACACTTTGCATGTTTTATTGCTGTTAAATTTGTTACTGCTAAACTTTTTATCCAATTTCAGCAAGATAATAATACGTTCTAAAATTTCTTCACCCCAAAAGCGGCCAATGTTGAAAAGAACAAAACTGACAATTGCCCAAATGATACTGAAATATTAAATCAATTTGGTTAAATGTCAAGAGGTTATCGGAGGTTATCAACAAAATTCTTACCTGTATAAAATAGCGACAACAATGACAACAAAAATTAACAACAGTGAAAATAAAAATCCTGTGTTGGTCATGTTTATATTAAAGAAAAACTATTTTACTAGATACTATTGTTGTTAATCATTGTGTTATTTTAAATGCACAGAAGCATGAGTAACGTGAGTACATGACAGCTGGATCAGCTGTATCAACTGACACTACTAACCCAACATAATCAGTAATCATAGTAATGTAGATTATTATTATTGTTATTATTATTATTATTTATCATTATCATTATTCACTATCTCAAAAATCACTGACACTTTGCGAATTGCACAATAAAAATGGACGCGCACTTATCAGCATTCGAAAATTTGTTTTAAATTTTAGTTTATTATTTGTTGACAGACGGCGCTGACGGCAAGAGGAAGAAAAAGTAGATTTTCGGTTAAAAACCGGTAAAAAAAAACAATTAGAAATTTTTTTTATAATTTTAATTTATTGTTGTAATTTGTTAGAAATATTTTTTAAATTGACAGCTGTCAGCTAACTTCAGTGTGATTAAAAAAATTAAAAAAAAAAAAAGGTATAATATGGTGATTTTTAATGTATAATCTGAGCAATCAGTTGTCATAAACTATACTGGAGTGAAGTGATTTGAAAAACAAGCTGATTAAGCAACACCTGCCTGACAAAAAATAATAAATAAATTATTTTACTTAAAAAATTAACATAAATAATAGATACAATTTCTCAAAAACTGTGAATCACTTGTAAAAACTAAAGTAAATTTGAGTGAGTGAATGGATAGAAGTAAAGTGAAACCCAAAGCCGGTGTTTGATTACATTCCTGTTATGCTGATCTGCTAAATGACAGTTTGTTGGTAAACGATGAACGAGGTAGATGAAAATGAGATCAATGAGGCGTTTCAGGAGCCGAAGAAAAAATTTTGGCAGGTGAGTAATATTATACTCTACAATTTACAATGTTTAAATTTCAATTTTAATTGTTTGGATTTACATTTAAATTATTTAGAGATCCTCAAGAAAAAGGACCAAGAGTGATGTAATCAGTGTGAGTTCAATGGACATTTCTCTAGATTCAACAATTATAAAAAGGAAAAAAAGACGGAGGATTACCGAGTTAGCCAGCAATTTTTTAGCCGCATCGACTACTGGTCGGCTGAGCAATGTGCTTCAGCGGTCTTTTGGGTTTCACAGTAATACTTCTGTGGGTATGATTGACGAGGACGGCGAGTCTGGACCTAGTAACAGGTAAATGTTTATTCTAGACTTATATACATTTTTTTTTTATTTGACAAATAAATTAGAAGCATAGAAACATTCTTAAAAAACTGCATTCAAAATTTCTAAATGTAAAATGTATCTTTAAATTTTTTTTATCAATTGTCAAATTTCGACTAAGTTTTTATAAATAAAATTTTGCTTTATTGAATAATGACTTTTGTTAAATTGCACTGTAATTTTTTAACTACTGACTTTTTTAAAAACATAAGCTCATCCCGATGTTACACTCATCAAGAGCTTTCATTTGAATACCTACATGCATTTTCATATATTTTTCATATATACATATATGTAATATATATAAATATATGATAAATTGATGTGGGTACTCAAATGAAAGGTCTCGATGAGTTTAACAACGGGATGAGCTTATATCTTTGAAAATGTCAATAATTCTCAAAATACAAGGTCGTTTCTTATGTTGATAAAACCCATTTTATCATATAAATACAGTGGCTATAAAATTTTGCTTATTCTCTCATTAATATAGACTATAAAAATATTTTAAAAAAATTATAAATGCAATTTTTCTTTAAATAATTTTTTTAGAAAAAATTTGTTTATTAATTAAAATAAAATATAATTTTTATTAATTATAATTATTTTAACTTAAAAAAATGATTTATTTTTTAGAACGCGCAGCAAATGCGAGCAAGTAGGAAGCGTAGTGATGAACAGTTGGGTGACAGATATATCAAAATACCCACCTGAGAAATTAACTTCAAGTATGAGCAGAAATGACATTAAAAGACAAGAAGCTATTTACGAGCTTTATTGCGGAGAAAACGTGCTGCTAAATGACCTCCAGGAGCTCAAAGAGTCCTACCTGGAGCCCTTGCAGTCGACGGACATCTTCACACCCAGTGAACTACGCACATTGTTCGGAGACATAGACATGCTGATCCACGTGCACAGCAAACTCCGAGACGACTTAATAGAACTGCGAGACACGTCGGGGTTCACCAATTCAATTGGCCCGACGATACTCGAGTGGTTATCAACGCTCACAGAGCCCTACGTCGAGAGGTGCAGGTCCCAGATAATGGCGAGGCACTTGCTGGAGACAAAACGGGCGCGGAGTAAAAAATTCCAGGAGTTTCTAAAAAAAAAAATGGAATCACCGCGGGCAGTTGATTTGTGGACGTACTTGGACGTAGCTCGGTCTCGCATCGTTAAATATCCGCTGTTGATAAAAGAAATAGTGAGACGAACCCCGTCGACGCACGAGGACTACTTGGTGCTCAAAGAAGCCAGTATTATATTCACAGAGATGTTGGAGACAATAGACCAGGCTATGGGAGACGCCGAGTGTGAGCTAGCTCGGATGAAAATCATCTCCAAGACTGACTACGACCCAGAAGAATTGATAAAAACCGCAAGGGAGCTCATCACCGAAGGACAGCTTAAAGATCCTCGCGGATTGAAGCTCCATTGCTTTTTATTCGACAACTGCTTCGTGGTCACTCGGCCGGTCATTAAGTCCAGGTCGAAGAACTACGATCTACATTGTCCTGTCATTCCCAAGGATCAGCTGCTTACAGAGTCTTCGGATGGTGATGAGGATAGTTGCTTGAAAGTTGGAGACCGCACTTTGATCGTGAGAGACGAGCATGATAAAAAACACTGGATTGATGCCTTTAAGAAAGCCAAGTGTGTTACTAAAAAAGTTAAGAAAAAGTCTATGGACAGCGGTGATAAATCTTCTGAGGAATCCTTAAGGGTGTTACGTGACAAACAGTTTCTCAAGCGAAGTACTCGTGAACGTCCGATTTGAAATTTTTTTATTAGGGATGATAAGGTATCAGAACTGAGGTAAAAGGCCCAGTTATTGACACTGGTCTAGTTCTTTGAAACTTTCAATTTTATTTTAATTAAAAAAATTAATAAATATAATTTTTTAATTATAAATATTATTGCTTTAATCAGGTCTAAATTCTTCTATATAATTAATTAAAATCACGATGTTGTAGACCAAAATGATCTAATGCTTTTTATTTCATTTATTTTAACATGCGACTTTTCGTCAATTTTATTCTGACATCATCAGGCCTATGATGTTTACAAATAAATAAATAATTAACAATTTTTCATATCGAATTAAAAAATACAAATATCAAAAAATTAATAAATACCTTAAAATTTTACAATATAAAAACAATTTACAAAAAATTAGAATCGGATATATATGTTTCGTTTTATTTATTAAGGACTCTAATTTTTTAAATAGATAAAAAAAATGTCATACGTAGTAATTTTTGTAAATTAAGAACTGTGTTTTTATATTGTTAAATTTTAAGGTATTTATTAATGTTTTGATATTTGTATTGAATTTTTTTAATTTAACTTGAAAAATTATTAATTATTTATTTTTTTGTAAACACTATAGGCCTGATGATGTCAGAATAAATAAATAAATAAATGAAATAAAAAACACAACATCATTTTTGTCTACAACATCCTGATTTAAATAAATTATAAATATTAAAATAATTGATTTTTTAAGAACATTTTATTTTTTTAATTAAAATAAAATTGCAAGTGTTAATAACTAGGCTAGGGTCAATAACTGGGTTTTTTTTTTTTAACTACTTATGAATTATTATTTGAAAAAATGCATACTGACTTAAAATATTCTTAGCGTGCAATTTTTCAAAAATATTTTTATTTAAATTCTCAGAGATCTGATACTTTTGGATCCATAGGAAATAAAATCAACGTTTAATATATCTTCCAATAAGTAATAACTTAAAAAAAAATTGGTGCCTGTTTAATATATACAAACTTTTATCTATTTATAATAAAATACTAAAAAAATAAGTGATATATTTTCCGATATAAATAATTATATTAAAAAATTATTAGCTTGTAAAGGGTGTTGAAAATGTCTTTTTTTTATAAATATATATGTAAGTTTATTAAAGCCTTGACGGCGAATTAATAAAAAAAAATTATTTGTATGTATTTTAATGATAATAAAAATATAAATTAAGTCTTGTTAGGTTTCATGGAATTCCCGTCGGGATATCGCTTGCGGAAGGCTTTGATAAGCTGAGGATCAATTAGATGAACACCATCGACCTGGTTACCCAAAGTAATCCAGTTCGGCTGAACATTATGCGGCCGACCAAAGAGTTCTATCTTCCTGGTGCTGGGACTCATCCGTTCAATGATCCCGTAAATTTCATCCGGCTTGTGACTGGTAGCACGAACTTCAGCAACGATCACGTCGCTATCGAGCCCGCGATTGATGCGAGGGTTGCCTTTCATGCCTACCAGACAGTGCTCCTTGCCGTGGTTCAGCCAATGGCCGGTTCGACCGGTCCTGATGATCCTCTGCAGCTGGTTAGTCTTGACCCAGATGATCTCGTCGACTCGCTCGTAGCCCCACAGCTGCAAGCACTCTCTTCCAAGCTCCATGGCTCGGCCAGTTACCCATAAGAACAGCAGACCCTCGTCCTGGAGGGCGGGGATTCCCAGCTGACGCATCTCGTCGTCAGACATCGTTCCGTAAGGCAGTTCCATGTGAATGTCCCACGGTGGGTCTGCCATTATTACCGCGAATTTACCAAGGACTGTCATGTCCAGGTAACGCAAGTCGCACTGGATCCATTGGGGAGGATAGAGCGTCAATTCTGTGCCTGAACCTGGTCCTGTTACTTGTCCAGGGGTTTCTACTGATGATTTTGTTGAATTATTTACAGGTTGGATTTCTGATTCGTTGATATTTTCTTTGGATAAAGATGTTGAGTTGTCGACTTCGTAGTGGACGTATCTAAAAATTATTTTATTATTTATTTTTAAAAATAAAATCTGACAGAAAAATTTTTTAAAATTAATTATGAAAAAAGTAAAAAATAATTCATTTTTAGAAATTAAAAAAAAATTATAAGTTCAATGATTGAAAAATTGTTTTTTGAATATGATTTTTTTTTTTAATAAACTAAAAAAAATTTTCAGATATCTGTTATGTCACAAATGATAAAATAATGACTTTTGTTAAATAACACTGTACTTTCTTAAATATTGACAATTTTAAGGATATAAGCTCATCCTGATGTTACACTTATCAAGAGCTTTCATTTGAGTACCCACATGCATTTTTGATATATTTTTCATATATACATATATATAATATATATAAATATATCAAATATATGAAAAATTGATGTGGGTACTCAAATGAAAGGTCTCGATGAATGTAATGTCAGGATGAGCTTATCTCTTTAAAAATGTCAATAGTTCACAAGATACAAGTTCATTTCTTTATTATGTATCTAAAGATAGATTATTTTCGAATGCAGCAATAAAAACGACTATCTTGGACACAAAATTTTTCTTATTCTCTTAATAATATAGATGATCAACTTAAATATTTAAATAAATAATTTTTAAAATTCTAGACTGAAATAAACTTACTTGCAAGTATCCATATGGAAGCATGTATTCAAAAAACTACAATCACCTAACGACTCATCAGTATGACTCTGAATGATCTTTTTAAAATGCAATTTTTTACACTTAGCAGCTCCGCTGGCGTTTATTTTATCGCACTCAAATCTAGTACCATGGGGACAGAATTCCATCACCTGAGCACCTCCTTGAGAGCGAAATCGCTCAGCCAGAGATTTTTCCTTTGAAGTTTGCTTGGATAATAAATCCAAAATTTGCTCTCCAACTTTTTTACTCTCCTTCTCTCGGATCGTCGGCATTGATATCAAGGACATGATATCTTCTGCGTTTTTAATGTCAAGTCGAGGCTGCTTCTCCGGACTAACCTCGTCGTCATCCTCCTCCGGCTCGTCATCGTCAGTCTTTTCCTGCGAAGTAGTGTCAGTGCTCTCGTGGGCCACCAAGTCTTCAGTTTTTTGGCTTGATACATTTTCTACTATTGAAAGTACTGTGTAACCCAACACTCCGTCCTCTGTTACTTCTCTCATTCTAAAATTGATATAATTTTTATTAAAAAATTATGACACTAAAATTATAAGTAAAAAAATTTTTTGTGATAATTTTTCCAACAAAAAAAAAAAACAATAAAAATTTTTAGATGCCGGCTAATTTAATTAAAAAAAAAAAGTTATTGAAGTAAAAATAAAAATTACTTTAAGACATCTTGCGCGGCCAATTTCTCCAGTATTTTTTTAACATCAACATGAGAAACATCAGCACTGAGATTTTTTCTCAGCTGAACACTGAGTTCCGCTGAAGTTGTAGGAAGACTTTGTCTCAGGATACACAAAATTTCACGTTCTAACTCATCATGCCGGTCTGTCAATGCATTGGAATCTCCTAAAAAATTAATCAAATTATTTAAATAAATTTAACACAAACAATAATTTAAAAAAAAATTTTTAATTCAATAAAATTACCTCCAGAATTGACAGAATCTGCAACAATACTGATCGTCGTTGGCAAAGTAAGAGTAAACAATTCATGTCTTTCTCGTTTTCTTTTCTGCAATTTTTCCCTTAAACTATTTCTTTTTATTTTTATCGCCTGAATTTCTTCAAACGCATCAGACATTTTGTTATTTATATATTTTTTAACACAATAAATATTTATAAAAAAAAAAAACTAACACATGTAATACCTTTTTAATTTTTTTAACTTATTAAATTAAAACTAAAAAATATTTTTTAGAATTGCACTTTTAGTTTTTCACAAATAAAATTTTTTTGGAATAATTTTTCCAAATAAAAAAAAAAATTCTAAATTTTTTAGAATGTCAACTAACCTAATTTTTACTTTTTGTTTACATTTAACTCATTTAACACTCGTATGTGCACATCAGTAGACAGTACATACCTGATTGTTGATGCGGAAGCAATAAATTTTATCAACTGAGTCGAAGAAATTCCGTAAAGTGACAAGCTTACAATTTTTGCCGCCAGATGGCGTCAGTAAAGTTTTTGATGTGTGCAGGTCTTCATATATGCTGATTAATCAAGGTCACAAAAATAGGCGAATCGCGCGCCACAAACTCTCAGCTCTTAGATCGTCTATTGTCGTGACCGTGCTCGAGCACCAGCTTGGAATTTAGAGAAATATAAACAGTGAGGTGAACAGTTAAGTACTGAGTGCGTGCAGTGTTGTGCTGACTTTCTAGACAAAATACTTACGATGGCGACGAATAAAAAGATGAAAAAATTGGAAGACCCCGGGTCAGGCGACGGGAACGAGTCTCACTACGATCTCGAGATCCAAAAGACTCTTGAAGAAATAGACGGTTGCCAAAATCAAATCGATGGGCTCAACGAAAAAGCCAGCGACGAAATCCTCGAGGTTGAGAAAAAGTACAACAAGCTACGTAAACCATATTTCCAAAAGCGCAACGACATCATCAAGAGGATACCCAATTTTTGGGTCATCGCTGTATCCTTTTTAATCAATGACATTCTGTTTTATTATTTACTTTTTTTTTTATCTTAATTCTACTTGTTAATACTTTACGTTGATTGACATTTAGCGGTAATACCGGCGTCTACCGGTGCTGCACGCCATCTTGTTTCTTATATATAGGTATACATATGTATATTTGTACTCTAGTTTATTCACAACTCGTGTTACATGGCGCGTTTTGTTACTTTCAAATTATTATTGTAATTTTAATACTTAAATTAGAAAACAACTGACATTTTTATGACATTAAAGTTTGCAATTACTTGAGAATTTTTTAATTTTATTTAAGAAAAAAAATTTTTTTACATGTTAATTTTTTTGCTAAAAAATTGCATTATTAATTTTTTAGATGTGTAATTTTTCTTATAAAATTTTTTTTTATCATATTTTATTTGATAAAAATTTTATAAAATGTCTCAAATTAATTATCATAAATTTTACAATTTATTTTTAGCAATTAGTTTTTTTAAAAATTATTTTCTTCCTTAACTAATATAATAAAAAAAAAATAGTTTGTCAACAATAAAAAAATTGCTGAAATTCTTGAAGAGGAAGAAGAAGACGCACTGAGATATTTGAACAAGCTAGAAGTTGAAGAATTTGAAGACATTAAATCTGGATATAGGATTAACTTTTATTTTGACGAGAATCCCTACTTTGAAAATGATGTATTAACTAAGGAATTCCATTTAGGATCTACAGGTGAGTACAGTAATTAATCCGCTTATACTTTTGTGAAAAATAAAGCCTCACCATAAAAGAAGAATAGATAAATATTGTAGGATGATCTATGTTGTTATAAAAACTCCTGCTGATTTGCAGGAGATCCAGCTTCGCAGAGTACTGTTATCCGCTGGAAGGAAGGAGCTGACTTGACGAAAAAGTCTAAGAACAAGAATCAATCCAAAGGACGTAAGAGGACACTGAGCCATCGGTCCTTCTTTGACTGGTTCACGGATCATGGTGATCCTAGTTCTGATGAGATTGCAGAGTTAATTAAAGATGATATGTGGCCAAACCCGTTACAGGTATAATAATTTTATTATTTTTAACAATTAAGTTATTATGAAGAAATTTTAGTAACAAAATTTTACATCTAAAAATTTATAAAAAAATTGACATTATTTTTTTTTATATTATTATTATTATTTAATAGTCTTATTAGTATTTATATTAATGAAAAATTTATGTTCTAGTACTACTTAGCGCCAGATATGGACGTAGAAAACGGAATCGAAGACGAAGGAGAAGAAATGGACAGTGACGAGGCAGAAGATGATGAAGAAGCTGGAGAAGAAGGCGATGAAGGTGCTGATGGTGATGAAGGAGATGACAATATTGTTGTCGTTGAAGACGATGCTGAGGAGGAAGAAGATGAGGAAGAGGCAGTAAATGACGAAGAAGATGCGGCGAACGATGAAGATTTACTTGTAGATGATGAAGCTGATCGTGAAGGTTAATTTTTTTTAATTAATATTTATTTATTTATTTATTTATTTATTCAAACGCCAATCGGCTTTATACATTAAGTTTAAATCAAGTAAATTTAGTTTTAGGTGAAAATAAATTAAAAATAAAAAAAAAAGTATTAATATTTCGAAAGAATTTAATTAGAATTAAATCAATTTGATTTATTTTATAAGTTTGAATTATTAGCAATATAAAATAATGTCTCAGAGTAACTATTGATTATTATTATTATTAAATATTATTTAATATGTTTGATTAATTGATTAAAAAAATTTTTATTTAATTTTCCAGATGGTGAAGGCGAAGAGCCAGAATAAACAAGACGCGAGGCAACAATTGTTACAAGTTGCTCGAGATATTAAAAAGTAAATCATTTAATTTAGAACCAACGAGTACATTTAAAGTAAAACAATTAAAATTAAAATAAGAATTAAGTATCCAGGGATTTTTTCACGTGACTAACTCCTGTTTGGCGCTCAAGACGATTGATAATGATAACACGAGCCATAGTATATATGTTGAAAATAATTTTCAGCGCGAGACAGGTGTTACGAGTCAGTGCTTTTTTACCTCATCGAAAAAATAATTATTTTTTCTTTAGTTAATAACGAGATAAATTAATTTCAGTGACTCGTTATTTTTTATTTTAACATTTTATATATAGTTTGATGAATTTTTCATGAGGATATTTTTTGCTTTATTTTCCCACGTGGGACCCTGACAAATAGAATTTCCACATATTCTTATAAAAAAAAAAAAAATAAATTTGTATATATATTTGAAAATAGTAAGACCGATAGTTGATAATTAATTAAATAATTTTTTCATCGGTCACTACATTATTATTATGAATCATCTTTTTCTCTGTATCTTCCATTGTAATCATGAAAATTTTAATTATATTTTAAATACAAATTAATGTTAATCATGATAAGTTTAATACTTAGGATAATACTTATGTATTTCTGAATTATTTTAAATGAAATTGGCCTCTCCCAGTTAATTAAGACGTCAATGTTAATCCTATTATTATACACTAAATAGTTGTAAGATTTATTTTTAAGATAAATGTTCGGCCAAAATTCAGAAGATCAATAAATTTTTTATTATTAATGATGATTAACGTCACACAAATGATTTTTTAAATAAAAACTGCATTCTAAATTGACGTCTGTGTAAAAATCTGACAGGAATAAAATCAATTTACAATTAATATTGTTTTTTTTATTAAAATTAATTCAGCAGTTAAATAATAATTTTAAGAATTTTTTTAACAAAATAAATTTGATGACTTTTCATAAATTCAGTGGTAACAGTAAAACGCCACCAGGTGGTGTCAAGTGTCAAAAGCCATCTACGTAAACTTGGGCGGTCATATACAGTGTAATACAAGCTATAGTTTAATCAACTATTAATTCTAACCCCCTAAACTTTGTTTGTAATCAAGTCCTCCAAGTATTTGTTTAAAAATTATTGAATTCTTCAATAATAAAATAATTATATTATTTATTATAAATCAGGTGATAAAAAAGCAAGTTTTGTAATTTTTAAAAATGGCGGATGTATTAGATATTGATAATGCAGAAGAGTTTGAAGTTGATGACGAAGGAGATCGTAAGTTTATTTTTATTTTTAATTACAGTTATCAATACTTAACCTCGTTACTTATTACTCACTATGATTTAAAAATTTTTTATTTATTAAATTAGAGAAAAAAATATTTTTTAAAAATTGCACTTATAGTTTTTCAAGTTTTTCACAAATGAAAAATTTTTAGATGTCGGCTAACTTAATTTTCATTTATTTTTATTGTAATTTATTTTAGAGGGTATCGCTAGATTGAAGGAAAAAGCAAAGAAGAGGAAAGGTCGTGGTCATGGAGCCGAGTTAGCTTCTACTCGTGATGAAGTTGGTCATTATGAATCTATGAATGTTGTGGAGGATGACAATGAACCTGGTCCTCAACGATGTAAGTATATTTAATTAAAAATTTTTTATAAAACTCAAGTCAGCTGATAGCTGTCAAATTTTTTCTATAAAAAAAATTTATTTGTAAATATTTTTCATCAATAGCTGTAGAAGGTTGGATTTTATTCATAAATTCAGTCCATGAAGAGGCTCAGGAAGATGACATTCAAGATAAATTTTCGGAGTACGGTCAAATAAAGAATTTGCACTTGAATCTCGACCGCAGAACTGGTTTCCTTAAAGGCTACGCTTTAGTCGAGTACGAGACGTTCAAGGAAGCCCAAGCTGCCAAAGAAGCGCTGAACGGCACTGAGATTTTAGGACAAGCTATTTCAGTTGACTGGTGCTTCGTTAAGGGTCCCAAGAAGTAATTTTTTTTTTTTTTTTTTGATTACATTAAATTTAATTTAATAAATAAACTAATCTATTGTTATTTTTCAGAGTCAAGAAGAGGAGTCACAGACGACGATAAGCCTTATATTAATTAAAACTTATTTTTTTCAATTAGTTTCAAGCTTCTATGAAACATTTCCAAGTGTATCAATTTTTTTTCTAATATCAAATATCTATTGGTATAAAAAATAAACCATTACTCAGTATAACTATGTAATTTATTTTGAATACAATTTTCAAAAATGAATATTTATTTTAATAACTATACTCGTAATTAATTTTGTTTATTACCGATATATGAAATAAAAAAATCTTATAAATAATACAAGGAAGTACTTAAGCGTAGTAATTAAGATTAGCTTTCTTTTTAGCCTGTACTTCATTGATTGCTTCCATCAAGTCTTCGTGAGTTACTGCTGTTGCATTGCGTCTGAGTGCAATCATACCCTTGAAAAAAAAAAAAAAATTATCAATCGTTTCTTAATTATGTTAAATTACACTGTACTTTCTTAACTATTGACATTTATGAAGATATAAGCTCATCTCGATGTTACACTCATCAAGAGCTTTCATTTGAATACCCACATGTATTTTCATATATTTTTCATATATACATATATATAAATATACAAATATATGAAAAATTGATGTGGGTACTCAAATGAAAGGTCTCGATGCGTGTAACATCGGGATGAGCTTAGATCTTTAAAAATGTCAATATTTCTCTAGATAAAATATCATTTCTTAAATATATTAAATTACACTTTACTTTCCTAACTATTGACTTTTTTAAAAATATAAGCTTATCCCGATGTTACACTCATCAAGAGCTTTCATTTGAGTACCCACATGCATTTTTGATATATTTTTCATATATACATATATATAAATATACAAATATATGAAAAATTGATGTGGGTACTCAAATGAAAGGTCTCGATGCGTGTAACATCGGGATGAGCTTATATCTTTAAAAATGTCAATAGTTCACAAGATACAACGTCAATTCTTAAATATACATTATAAAAAAAATATTTTTTTAAATTTCTAAATTCGTTATAAAAATCTACAAAATTGTAACATAATTATAAAGACACTTACAGCTTCAACGCAAACAGCTTTGCACTGAGCGCCATTGAAGTCATCAGTAGACCTAGACAACTCTTCAAAATTAACATCGGGCGACATGTTCATTTTCCGTGAATGAATCTGCATGATACGAGCACGAGCTTCTTCATTAGGATGCGGGAACTCAATTTTTCTGTCCAGACGTCCTGATCGCAGCAAAGCAGGATCCAAAATATCAACCCGATTCGTCGCAGCGATAACTTTGATGTCCGCTGTGGAACTAAATCCATCCAACTGGTTCAGCAGCTCCAACATAGTCCTCTGTACCTCTCGATCTCCAGCCTTCTCAGAGTCGAAACGTTTGGTACCAATAGCATCCAGCTCATCAATAAAAATAATCGCCGGAGATTTTTCTTTGGCCAAAGAGAAAGCGTCTCTGACAAGCTTGGCACCATCTCCAATGAACATCTGTACCAACTGAGGCCCGGCGAGCTTCAAGAAAGTAGACTTGGTCTGTGCAGCACAGGCACGAGCCAGGAGAGTCTTACCAGTACCAGGCGGCCCGTAGAGCAAGACTCCCTTGGGTGGTTGGATCCCCAGGTTCTGGAACTTCTCCTTGTGAGTCATCGGGAGCACCACGGCTTCAATCAGCTCCTGGATCTGCTTGTCCAGGCCTCCAATGTCGGAGTACTGCTCCGTTGGCCGCTCGTCAACCTCCATGGCCTTCACTCTGGCGTCGTACTCAGCTGGAAGGGTCTCCAACACCAGGTAGCTGTCTTTGTTGACTCCCACCAGGTCACCTGGCTTCAGCGAGTCTGCATCGACCAACCCGATCGCTGGCAAGAAGTACGTCTGCCTGGTGGACGTTTTTATCACAGCGCACTTACCTTTGCGCTGAGAGTCCAAGTCAACCACCGCGCCGTCCTCTTCACCCATGTCCTGAGGGTCCACGTCTAATAATTCGATGACGTTTGACACTAAGTACGGAAGAGTTTTGTTTACTTTTATCTTCTCGGTGTTTTCTTTTATTTTGTCATTCTGCGCCTGAAGCTCGTGGGATATACGCATCACGTCACTCTTCATTATTTTTATTTCGTTGTCCAGCAGGCGGCTCCGGGATACTAGCTCCTCTGCTGTCATACGTTTGACATCCTCGCCTAGAGTTTCCTGTTTTTAAATATAAATAAATAAAATTTTGCTTTATTAAATAATTAGTTTTGTTAAATTGCACTGTACTTTCTTAACTATTGATGTTTTTAAATATATAAGCTCATCCCGATGTTACACACATCAAGACCTTTCATTTGAGTACCCACATCAATTTTTCATATATTTTTCATATATACATATATATAAATATATGAAAAATTGATGTGGGTACTCAAATGAAAGGTCTCGATGAGTGGAACATCGGGATGAGCTTATATCTTAAAAAATATCATTAATTGACAAGATGCAAGGTCGTTTCTCAATTATGTTAAATTGCACTGTACTTTCTTAACTATTGACATTTTTAAAGATATAAGCTCATTTCGATGATACACTGATCAAGAGCTTTCATTTGAGTACCCACATGCATTTTTGATATATTTTTCATATATTCATAAATATATGAAAAATTGATGTGGGTACTCAAATGAAAGGTCTTGATGAGTGTAGCGTCAGGATGAGCTTATATCTTTAAAAATGTCAATAGTTTACAAGATACAAGGTAATTTCTTAATTATGTATCTAGAGATAGAGCTTATTCTCTCAATAATATATATTATTTTAATTATGACAATTTTTTAATTATAAACTAGGCCTAGAAAATTATTTAAAAAAAATTCATAATTTTTTGGAGCATAGATGAAATTTTTTTTTAATTTATTAAAAAATTTATAAAAATTAGATGTCAATTTTTTTATTTTTAAATTGATGAGTTGCTGTTTCATAAAGCAATAATAACCTTAAAAATAATTAATGATTAAATAAATTACCTCTTCGCCGGCCCATATCGACTTATCCTCTAAAGTTGTGGCTGCCATTAATATTTTAATTTATCCCTTTGTTTTCTTATAAATATGAACTTCTCTTTATCTATAATTGACAAAAGTAAAAATGTACATTCACCAGAAACAGAAAACAGAATGAGTAGTCGATTTTCACTGCTGGATGTCGGATTTATTAATTTTTTATGGAGACTTCACAGTGTAAACTGTCTTTATTAGATTTTTAAGAAAAAGTACTTAATTTATAAAGTAGATGGCAGCACAAGAAGTTTATTTTTTTGGCGGGACTTTTAAATTTTCTTTTGTTTGGTTAAAAAATTTCAGTTTTCTATCAAATTTTCATGGAGTCAGCTGACATCATAATTCCTAAAATTTTTTTTAATAAATAAATTAATATAAAAAAATCCACTTGTAGAATTGTCAAAAAAAATTATTGTTATAGTTTTTTCGTAGTAATTTATTTTTTTAAAAAATTAAAAAAAGTGACAGCTGTCAGCTAACTTCAGTTTATTTATTTATTAAAAAGCCAAAATAATAATCATTGTTTTAAATAATAATTTTATACAATTAAAGTGCTAAAGTGTAATTTTTTCTTTGACAAAAAAATTTATAAATTAAAAAAAAAAAGTTTTAATTAAAGAAGAAATAAAAAAATATTATTTTTTACTCCGTAAGTTTATTTATAAATAATCTACTTTTTAAAAGCAAACTTGTATTAAACGTCAGCTGTCAGCACCAGCTGGATGTACTCGCTGGTCACATGACCACCAGCTGGCTGAAAAGAAAATCATACATCACATAAATATATATAAAATATAAATATATATAAAATAGGTATATACTCATCAGTATCAACACTTCTGTCAGTTGGTTACTTAGTCTCATAGTATATAATATAAATAAGTGTACATATATAAATTTCTCGCGTACATGAACAATATTTGTCATCAACTATTCCAGTGTCATGGTCAAAAGTAATGTATTATTTCCACGTTCGTAAGTTATTTTCTAAATTGAATTTTATACAATATGGACCGGGTGAAAAATAAAAAATTAAATAGTCTTCTTAGTGACATGTCATCCGTACATTTATTACATAGCAAATTTAATAATAATAACTCTAGGTTATTTTAAAAATAACAATAAATTATTTCGTACAAATAAACACAAACAATTACCTGATTATTTATTCCCAGACGTTTACTGAGTCACCTAAGTTACACAAGTGAAAGTGTTATTTTATTAGCTGGAATATTATTGTGAAAATATAATTAACAAAAAATACAATGGCTTCTAAACAAAGTCCCGCTAAAGTTACCTTGGGAATGATAAAAGGTAAATAAATATATTCACAAATTAAATACTTTTACTTTTTTTTATATAATTTATAATAATAAAGTTAGCCGACGTTTTTTATTTTTTTTTTTTTTTTTCAGTAATTTAATTGGAGCAGAAAAATATTATATTTTTTTTATTAATTAAATTAGAGCTAAAAAAATATTTTTAAAAAATTGCACGTATAGTTTTTTAAATTTCCTACATGTGGAATTTTTAAAAAATATTGTTTGTTATAAATTTTTCAATCAGAAGAATTCTAAAAATTGTCAAGTGTCTGTTAACTTTAATAACCAATTTTAGTTTTATAAATAAAGTTTAAGAATTTTTAGAATTTTTTTTATTGAAAAAATAATTACAAAAAAATAAATAAAAAAAATGTCACTTGTAAAAAACTTGAAAAACTGTGCAATTTGTGCAATTTTTCAAAAATATTTTTTTGTTCTAATTTAAATATTAAAAAAAAAATTAGAAAAACGGTTCACCCTAAAGGCCATCCCTGCAACTTCCCGCTTATTTTGTACTTGAACGCTTCAAACTACACATTACGTTTTTGAGCTCTTCGAGCTTATTTTTATGTCAATTTGAGCTCTTCGAGCTCAAAACTCTGATAGCAGTTTAAAGACACAATTTTTTGAATTTTCAAACGGCAATAACTTTTGAATGAATGAACCGATTTTCACGTGGTTGGCGGCAATCGACGCAGTTTTTGAAGCTCCATGAAAAATTTTCAAGTTTAAATCTATCGAGCCATGAATTTCGAAGTTATTACAAAAAAACACTTTTTTCGATTTTTTTTCGACAACGATATCTCACGAACGCATCAACCGATTCTAACGTTTTTGGTGGCGATTGATAGGGGTTTTCAAGGTTAAGAGCTGATTAGTTTTTGAGACTGATCGGTTCAGCCAATTCGGAGATATTTAAAAAAAAATAAAAAAAAAACAACTTTTTTTTTTTTACTTTTTTTTCACTTTTTTTGCATTTTCTCGAAATCTACCCGTCCGAATCGGTTCAAATTTTCAGGAAATCTAAGTTTAGTGAAGCCCTTTCGAATGATACCAATCGCGATGAAATCGGTCAAGTCGTTCAAAAGTTACAAGAGGTTTACATACACACACACACACCCACACATACAGACGTACGGACATCATCGTAAAAATAGTCAGGGAAGCTTTCTGTGACCTTCAAACGTCGAGATCTGATGAAAACTTGATTTTTGTAAAACGGGGTGAAAACAATAACTTCCCGATTTTTGAAAATCTGAGATTTTTAGCGGGAAGTTAAAAATCAAAAAATTAAAAACGTAAGCTGACTTAAGTATTACAATTTTATTTTTTTGTAATAATTTTTTCAATAAAAAAAAAATCTGGCGCGCAGTAGCCTATCGGATCCGGCCCTTGCTACCAAAGCATTGGACCGAGTTCGAGTCCGGCGTACACCAATGAATATTTTCAATATTTAAGTGTATTATACTGCTCAGCCCAAGAAATAAAACGAGTTCCAATCTCAAAAGTTTACCCCCTACCGTAGTCGCTCATGACCTTAGTAGTTTATGCGACTTTAAACAAATTAAGAAAAAAAAAAAATAGTTATTCGAAGATAAATGCCAAAAATACATTTTTTTTTATTTTTAAAGTCACAAAATAAATTGAAAAAATCATAAAATTGGACGAATAATAAAATCAATTATGCAATTAATAAATAATTATGCATATACGGAAAAAAGAAAAAAGGAAAAATTACATAACATAATAAACAGTCATGTGTCGCTTCAGATTTAAAACTAGAAAAATTGCAGTTCAAAATAACATTTTTGAAATTCAAACTTTGAAAGTTAATTTTCACAGCGTTAAGTGTATCGTAAGCGACTTAAGTATACAATTTTATTTTTTTTGTAATAATTTTTTCAATAAAAAAAAAAAATCTGGCGCGCAGTAGCCTATCGGATCCGGCCCTTGCTACCAAAGCATTGGACCGAGTTCGAGTCCGGCGTACACCAATGAATATTTTCAATATTTAAGTGTATTATACTGCTCAGCCCAAGAAATAAAACGAGTTCCAATCTCAAAAGTTTACCCCCTACCGTAGTCGCTCATGACCTTAGTAGTTTATGCGACTTTAAACAAATTAAAAAAAAAAAAAAAAAAAAAAATCTAAAAATTTTTAAACGTCAGCTAACTTAATTTTCATCCATTATTATAATTATTTTATTTTTATTTTAGGTAAACCAATAACTACGTCTGTACCTGTAATAAAATACCACGCGAGTGACGACGAGCTAGAAGAACTATACCCGAGCACCGACGAAGAAAAGCCAAAGACTCCCGAATCAGAAAGAACATCCCCAAAATCGAGTCCGTTCAAAATAAAAAAACTAAAGTCTGACAGTACTGAAAGTAATGAAGACCTGGGTGAGCAGAGGTCCTCAAGCTTGGACTTGTCCGAAGGAGGTACACCTCCATCCGATCCTTGGAAAGTGCTATCGGACATCCGAGGCAAGATAACAAAAACATTCGAAGAAAAGCTATCTGAGATAAAGAGCGAGAAGAAGAACAAGAGCCGCAGCAGGGAGAACTCCAGCGTGAGCGACCCCGATGACCTGGGGGACGTAACGCCGACTGAAGATGTCTCGGAGAAAGTTGACAAAGCCGAGAAGGAATCTCCGTCGCCTTCTAAAAGCAGTAAGCCGTCTAAGAGCCACAGGTTCAGGTTCTCCAATATAAAGACTGGGTTGAAGGCCAAGGACAAGGCTCGCGAAGAAAGCATCGAGAGCGGAGTCGAAGCTGCCGAGCTGGTGGAGGTCGACTCCATGTCGCAGTCCAATATTTCTAGGGGTCAAGAAACTTCAGAAATTTCTAGCACTTGCACAGTTAAACATTTAGCGTACTCGAGGTTAATTAATGACCCTGTAAGAGAATTTTCCAAGCCTGGGATGATAATAACAGAGCTGAAGAGTTATTTGCTGTCTAGAATATTTGGACTTTTGGTATTTTTGGGATTGATTAGTTACTTAATACCTATTTTAGCTCTAGCTACTGGCATTTTTGCCGGTAGTGTTGTTGTTATCACAGTACAAAGAATGATTAGCAGAGTTAGCAAGGTTGTTGCGATGCCGGTTGAGATGGAAGACTCTCAAAAACTGGAGACTGTCCCAGTGCTGGAGATTCCTGCGGTGGAAGAGTACGCGGTGGTTGATAAATTCGAGGGGTGGCTCAACGAACTCCCGTACAATTATGACCCGGAAAATTATCACGTTGCTAGGACTCAGTCTGTTTATTTTAAGCTTGAGGGGGATTCTCTGAGGGTCAGTGAGACCAGGACGAGGATTCCTAAGCGAGCTGTTTGGAACGAGCCCCAGCCGACTGCTAAATTCACCCGTAGAAGAGTCTACTCTTTGGTTGGAGCCAAAGTTGAGTTATTACCCGAGGGTTTGACTCGCAGGCGGTAATTGTTTTTTATTATTGATATTTATTATTTATTATGATTATTGTGCATTTATTTGGAAGAAATTTTAATTTTGTTATATAGGAGATGGAGCAAAAAATATCCCATATGCGTTACATTAGGCCGCGAGGGTGTCGTTGAAAATATAACACTCGAGACGCCGTCTGACGATGAATTACTTACTGAGAATGAGAAGGATAAGTTAATTGTCGAGGAGGATGAAACAGACGACGATTTGTCTTTTTCGAAAGATACTAAAGATGTATTTGAAGATTGTCATGATGATGTTGAGGATCTCAGGTCAAAATTGTTTTTTTTTGGAAGAACAGACCGGCAAAAAGAGGATTGGTAAATTTTAAAAAGTGTTTTTAATTCAAGTCTTTATTTTTTTAAATATGAGTTATTATTATTATTATTATTATTCTCATTGTTATTATTTTCTTTATAGGTATAGACGACTTGTTTTAGCAACAAGATCGTTTAACAAACGTAATTCGATACCGTCCACCAAGGAACTTACGTCATCATCGAGTAACTTATCACTATCACAAGCTTCGAGTGATCCTAGAAATTCAACCACAGTACCGATTAATGTTGATATTCCTCCGGAATTATCATTTCATTCTTATATGTCACGATATGCTGATGTAAGATTTTTATTTTATTAATTTACTACCGCATTATTATTACTATAATAATAATAATAATTATTATTATTATTAACGAGCAAATTGTGCTTTATTAAACAATGACTATTGTTAAATTGCACTGTACTTTCTTAAATATTAACGTTTTCAGAAATATAAGCTCATCTTGATGTTACACTCATCGAGACCTTTCGTTTGAGTACCCACATCAATTTTTCATATATTTATATATATTACATATATGTATATAGATTAATATATCAAAAATGTATGTGGGTACTCAAATGAAAGCTTTTGACGAGTGTAACATCAGGATGAGCTTATATCTTTAAAAA